TGCTGGGGTACACATTTGGGCAAAGCAGACATGGAGGCTTACAGTCTAGGGAGAGGCACACAAGTCTACAAACCACACACATCAGTGAATAACCACTGTGATGCGAGGCATGGGAAGGGGGCAAGGTGCTGAGAGCCAGACACATGCAGACCAGTCTGGGTCATCTAGGGGAAGTGATGGTAAGCTGAGATCTGAAGGACAAGGACGAGCACTAACTCCCCAGGTGAAGGGCCCAGGCACAGGGCAGATGGCTAAGAGATAACACAATAACACACTTCTGTGAAGCATCTTGCTCAGACTAGCTCATTAACACAGTAACCCCATTTCATGAAGGAAGAAACTGAGAGACAGGTGAAGTAACCTACACAGAGGCATATAGCTGGGAAGGGTAGAGGCAGGATCTGAACCCAGGAAGCCTGGGTTAAAGCCCAAGTCATTCCACTCTATGCCTGTGACAGGTGGGGCTTAGCTCTTTCAAGGAACTCAGAATACCTGTCACTGATGTACCAGGCACTATTCAGAGCACTTTACATGCTTTAATTTTTTTAATCCTAAAAACAACCCTAATAAAAGGCAGATACTCTTATCATCACCCCCATTTTACAAAGGGACAATCCAAGGCACAGAGAGGTTGAACAACTTGCCCAAAATCACACAGCCAGTCATCAGCAGAGCTGACTTGAACCCAGCAGTCTGGCTCAAGTCTGTGCTCTTAGATGTGACAGTGTATGAACCTGAGGCTGGACTCAGAAAGTGAGGGAAGAGCCATGAGGCCAGGGAGGGCAGCAAAGGCTGGGCATTGCAGACCACAGGGGCCACAGTAAAACATCTCGTCTTTGGCCTGAGAGCAAAGGTGAGTCACTAAAGAGTGTTAGGCAGGGAGGCAGCACGAGCGTATTTAGGTTTTTTAAAAGCTCACCTTGCGTATCTGGCATGGATACTGGGGATGGTTGCACAACTTGATTAATATAAATGTATCACTAAATTGTACACATGAAAAACACTGAATTAGCAAATGTTGTGTTATATATATATTTTTAACACAGTAAGAAAAAAAAAGCTCACCCTGGCTACCGTACGGATGATGAATGGGGCAGGGCAAAGTGGATGACAGCAGGTGAGTTAGGAGGCTTCTGCCATGGCTCAGGAGAGCCGAGGGTAGCTCAGGCTGGGGGTGATGGAGGGAAGAGGAGAGGTCTGGGGGAGACTGAGACAGTCAGTAAGGCCTGGAATGGGCATGGCTGGAGGCTGGTGCATTGACAAAGGACAGGGTGCTGGAAGAGGGTCAGACTTCCTGCTCAGGTGAGACATGTTCAGTTTGAGATGCTTTCGAGATATGCTGGAGGAGATGTGAAGTGGTAGGTTTTGAGATGGGTCTGGGGCTCCGATGAGATGACGAACACGCTTATTCCAGCCAGATCTGTCCACCCACGGAATAGGCAGCTGCAGGAGGTAGTGAGCTCCCCATCACTGAGGATGTACAAGCCTGAGCACCAGGGATGCTGTGGGGGATTCGTGGTGCAGCACATGACTTATGAAGGTCCTTGCTTCCAACGCACTGATTCTATGGAGTAGAGAGAGGCTGGAGGTGGCAGGACCGCCCTCCGACCTCCCATGTAACCGAGCCTACCCCTATCTCCAGGAAACCTCAAGTGCCGCCTGCCTCACGAGGAGGTGGAAGAAGGCTGTTCCCTACAGAGCCCCAGCTAATGCCCCTTTAACCTCCAGTCTCCTTTCTGCATCCCTGTACCCAGAGACCCTTCTAAGCCTGCCCTACAGGCCCCCCTGTAGAAAACTCAAAGTGGGGGCATGACAGGAGCCTTCACAGGGACACCTGCAGCTTAACAGGTAACTGTAGGCATAAGGACCCTCAGATGGCATAATTCCAGGCCCTGCAAAGCCTCTTCAGGGACGATGTGCTCTCTGAGGGCAGCAGGGCTTCTCTGCTTTAACTTAAGGGACAGACAAGAATGAGCCACCTGGGGGGAGGGAGAGGCCGTGGGTAGGGGGTGTTCAAAGAGAGGAGAGGACAGGACCTGACTTCGGGGAAGCCAGTGAGGCTGGAGTGGGGTGAGGGGAGCAAAGGGGCTGGTGAGCAGCAGAGGCCCAGCCCATGTGGACTCCAGCCTGGTATTTTGGGAAAATCCACAATAGCCTCCAGGCAGGGAGACAGGGGCTCAGTGTCCACCTTGAAGACCGTGTCCAGCCTCTCAGGTAGGCAGTTCTGCCCCCTTGTGCTCGGCCGGCCCTTGCCCTTAAGGTCATAGAGAGCTTCTCTCCAGGGATCCCCACCCACACCCCAGGGCCTGCGGCAGAGCCATCCACACAGGAGTGTGGGGAGTTTCAGCATGGGGCTACTGGGACTGTCTGGCAGTCCAGACAGAACCCAGGAGAGCCAGGACACCAGCCTGCCCCAGCCCTCCCTGCCCCTCCCCAGACCTGAGCCTCAGTTTCCCCTGAAGGAACCTGCTTATTTCCTTCTCAACAAGCAGCTTCTGGGAGGGGCAGACTCAGCCAAAAGAGGTGGGAGGAGGATTCGTCAGGCTTCTCCTGACCCTCCTTTTCTCCTGCCTGGCAAACCCTCAGATGATTTGCTGAGTGCACAGAGGGACTTTTATTGATGGCTCCCTGTGACCCTCCTTCCTGCCACCATCAGCCCCTCCACGTGCTGGGGCCCTAGGCTAGGGGTCTGGGTTAACTTGCACGGATAGGGGTCTGGGTTAACTTGCACGGAATGCACGAGGCACTGAGGCACAGACAACTCCCTCTCTCTCTTTCTCAGGGATTGCCAGCCTTGGCTGCACAGCACAGTCACCCACTGGGCTTGTCAAACACCCCACTGCCAGACCTACCCACAGCAATGCACATTCAGGGGAGTGGGGAGGGCTGGCCCCTGGGGGCTTTTCAAAGCGTCCCAGGTGATTATCAGGCAGCCAGCACATCACAGGTCCAGGGGCAGGCCTCTGAGGGCGTGCAGATATGATACGATGATGAGGAGAAGAGTAACTTTACAATGTTCAGTTACTTCAGGACATTTACCTATCTTGCTCCAAAAGGGGAATTCAGGTGACTGACATACACAGACAGACAGACACAACCTGATACAGTAAGGTAAAAGGAGGTAAGAAAGGAAAAAAGAAAAGCAAGGGCAGGGTGATGAAATAGAACTGGGAATGAGGCTTACATAATAACTTCTGCACAAAGGGCTACATGACGCTATTGGGTGATTAGTAATGTCTGCCACGGTCCTGTAATTTGCCATCTTTGAGCTAAATGTTTGGCACAGCCAGGAAATGCTGCATCAAGTCAGAGCAAGGAGAGAGCCCTCTTTGGGTTGGAGCGGTTTGGGCAAGCTTTTTAGAGAGGGCATTGACATGAAGCTAGGAATAAGGGAAAAAGGCATCTTTCTGGGGGTAGTCAAAATTGTGAAACTGTGCTTAAGGTACATGGTGGGTTGTTTGTTTTTTGCAGATGCTTTTACTCTTTTCCCTACCACCTTCCTATGAGAGTCAGCTATTTAATGAGACCTTGCTGTCTGGTTTATAGCTACCTGCCAGTTTTAAGGCCTCTGTACAAGCTGTAACAACTTTCTCTGACTTTATCTGCAGTAAACACTGCTCTGTTTGTTTTTTTAAAAAAAAGCAAAAAGCAAAACTTATTAATCAGGGTCATCAAATAGCTTCTCATTTTGAACACTGACTGTCCCCAGTTAGCAGCAGCTTCCTGTGTTGGAAAGGATTCTGAGACTGTATATAAGCTCCATGAGAAAGCATGCTGCAATTGATTAACAATGTCTGCTGAGGGCCCTGATATGGAGAGTAGAGTACATGTGCCATGTACTTGCCACCATTGCTTTGGGTAGTTGTCTGGAAAGGAGGAAGTGTGGTGGAGAGAAGAAAGGCTGCTGGAGGCTGGGGTTCTATCCCTGACTCCTCTGAAAACTGGCTGCAGCCTTTAGACCTGTGGCGTGAGGGGACTGGACTTGAGGGCTCTGAGGATCTTGCCTCTCTTAAGTCCCC